ACCAGTTACAAAGTGTATTACAAAAAATCATTTTTTCAATAATAAAATGTCTTAAGTCACTTCATTAGTATTTATATAAAGGTGTAAGATGGTTCACTTCAATTATTTTAACACAATACTGGCCAGAATAAGATAACATACACAATGAAAAATTTTAGAATTTCTCTTAAAATTCGATATCTAATACCTAATATGTTTGAGGCGCTTGAAAATTTTGCTACAGATATCCCATATATTACACAACAAAATTTATTGCCAGGTAAAGTAATGGGTGATTTTTTTACTAGTATCTTTTTGGCAACACTGTTTTTGACAGATGACGCGTGAATCGTGTCTTGTGTCATTGTCAAACTTTTTCAGTTTGGTCTATAATTTAACCATGAATCGACTTACGAACGAACAACGCTTGCAAATTATTGAACTTTCCTATCAAAATTCATGCTCGGTTAAGAGAGTGCATCGAGCACTGCTTCCACTTTATGGGCAATTTGGACGGCCTACTGAGGGAGCTATTTGGAAGCTTGTGACTAAATTTCGAACCCAGTTTACATTATTGGACATTAAACCACCAACACGCAGACGTAAAGTGAGGACTGAAGAAAATATTGCGGCTGTATCCGCCAGTGTTGGTGATGACCGTGAAATGTCGATTGCGACAGGATTTGGGTGTAAAACCTTATAAGATACAGCTGGTGCCAAAATTAAAGTCAGACGACCTCCCACAACGTTTCCCGTGTGGTGAATGGGCGCTGGCAAAGTTGGAGGAAGATCAACATTTTTATCGAAAAATTGTGTTCAGCGAGGAAGCTCATTTCTGGTTGAATGGGTACGTTAACAAGCAAAATTGCCTCATCTGGAGTGAAGACCAGCCAGAAGCACTGCAAGATCTACCAATGCATCCCGAAAAAATCACTGTTTGGTGTGGATTATGGGCCGGTGGCATCATCGTGCCGTACTTCTTCAAAGACGACAATGGCCGGTACGTAACTGTGAATGGCGAGCTTTACCGTGCGATGATAACAAACTTTTTTTTGCCCAAAATGGAAGAGCTGTACTTGGCTGACATGTGGTTTCAACAAGACGGTGCCACATGCCACACCGCACACGAAACAATGACCCTATTGAGAGGCGAGTTCGGTGAACAGTTTATCCCACGTTTGGGGCCCGTCAATTGGCCGCATATATCGTGTGATTTAACGCCGTTGGACTATTTCTTGTGGGGCCATGTTAAGGCTAAGGTCTACAGGGATAAACCAGCAACGATTGACGCACTGGAAGCCAATATTGAAGCATTTATTCGTGAGATACCGGCCGATATATTGGAGAGAGTGTGCCAAAATTGGACCTTGCGCATGGGCCATCTAAAGCGGAGCCGCGGCCAACATTGACATGAAATAATCTTTAAACATTAAATTATATCGACCGTTCTATCGACTCAAATGAAAATTTAATCGTTTTATCAAATTTTTTGTGTTTTTTTTTAAAATCAAATCCTATACCTCTTAAAAAATCACCCGTTATTAACCATTAGATTAAAAATCGAATTTCTATTTGTCTGGTATTGGGTGTATATATCAGAAATAAATGCAACATGGCTGATGGAGTTACTCAAACATATTTTATGTGCTAAAGAAGATCTAATGTTTGCCTTTTTGTTGTATCAATGGTCATGGAAAAACAAATTATTCTTAGTGGGTGCAATTCAACAACAAAAGCAAACTTTTAGTGTTAGTCAAAACAAGAAAGCTGCATCTAATACAATAAAACAAATTTTATAAGATTGTGTTTTTCAAGATCTATAACTGTTTTCAATAAAGCGACTTTATAATTGTTGCACACTATGTTTTATAATAATTATAAGAACGTTTAAGCAATTACCCGTAAGATCTGTGAGAGCCATAATAAAACAAAGTAAAAACAAAATTGCTGCACAAGAGTGCGCCCTTTTTGCTGTTTATAAGCGTTGTATAAGCATTGTTAGAAAGTTAATAACGTAGTAGGGTTTATAAGCATTGTATAAACGTTGTTAGGACATCTATAAAACATAAAATTTTTAGTTGGGTAGACATTCACTATTGACCTAGGCTTTTTTCACTGTAAGTTCTGTTTATAGGAATGCGGTGAATTATTCCGATTTCTCAAGTTAGTGACGAAAATATTATCTCAAACGGACATATCTGCTAACAGAACCTGGTATTCCATAAAAGATGATATCAAGTTGACCTTCAACAGGCAACGGTCATCTCTTTTTTACCTTTCTGCCGGAATGCCACCAAACCTTGCTTATCTGAGCTCTGTGCCACGATGATGTCACACTTTGGGCCTACTAATTGGTTCCTCCAGGTTCCTACATCTCATTTTAACTCAGCGAAGCTCTGCGCGTTTAAAACTGGACATATCATCATTCCTCTCATTTTAGGGTGTAAATATAGTGAAACAGTTCTAGAACAGTTCTAGCGACATCAGGTAGGTCAAGAATGGATCAGACCATCAAGATATCTAATATCTTTAGTTGCGCTACCTTGGTAATCAGGGTCTGTCTTCCTAACTTCTTTGTTATGCTGTTTAGAATAAATTAACATATGTTACGGGATTTTATTTGTGTTTTCAACCAGAACCATGATAGACACAGAAAAGAACCATTGTTTTAAAAATGAACATACCTTGGTCCTGAAAGAATTCCAAGCGTTTAGATTTTTTTTCGGGTGAAACTCCAGCATGTTGGTTATAAGTCTGCTATAGTTTTACTTCTATACGAACGGTTACAGAATCCGATATGCTAAAGTTCACTAACAATTAACTTTACGCGCAGCTCGTTCACGCTACAAACTTTATAACGAAGTTTTGATAGAATATGCATTTTGCAGGGACGCCTGCAAAGATAGTCGTAGGCTAGTGTTTTGATAAGGCGCCCTTCCATTATCTCATTTTAGGTCAGTTACAGATGAGCGTCTAATGATACACATTTTATAGGTAATATTATACAGTAACAATAATGCCTATTGTATATTCAAAGTGTCCTGATACTGCAAACCAACTCGAAAGAGAATTGCCGCGAAAAAGATTTTTTCAGATTGTTACATTAAATTTGACCTTGAACTTGACCTCCAAAGTCACATCAAAGTAAAGTCTGTTAGTAAAATGAGATATATATTTATGGTACCGGGGATGGATAGGGTGGCGAGTTCCACGTCCTGATCAGTACTTGATGTCGAAGAACCTTTGACTTTGGAGGTAATGGTCAAGGTCAAATGTCTAAGGTATCAAATAACCTTGAAAGCCATTACTAAAAAAATGAATTTGACATCAAAGGCTAAGGTTTAATTCAAGGTAACCATCCAAAAACATTCAAAGACTATGTTACGATTAGGTACTTTGACATTGACAGTGACCGTTCAAGGTCAATCTTTTTGATGTTTATGATTTTCCCGAAGGTCAAATTCAAGGTAACTGTCAGATAGCCGGGGAAAGATCCGATCCGCACACCTCAGTAGAATTTTTCCTTGACGCTTGGTTTTCGAAATGAGCTCCATATGTATTGGTCCTGGGCTTCGGTCTTAGAAACGGCTGTTTATAAAAATCAAAGATACCATTTTTTATCATTTTTGTGTTCACCGTTTTACATCAGAGATTATCATCTTATTTGTGGATTCCTTCATATCGAGTCATACTTTAGCAAATAATAATAATGGTTTTTACAACCATTAGTAACGCTCATCTGACGTCGCACTTAGCATTGATGCAGTTACTTTTCCAGAACGATGGCATTTCACATCAAGCGAAAGTAAACACAGTTCGATTTTAATTAAAATTTTAATCTAGGATGTTCTCGATTTTATTAAATGGATAAGTAGAAGTAGCGACGTGAACGGTATTGAGAAACCTTCAACGACTAACGAAGAGGACTCTTAATTTTACCCTCAAACGATTCTGTGGAGTAAGCATATTATACCTAGCAGAATATATTATCTCAATTGATAAAAGTAGCCTGAGAGTATATGAGTATCGAGCTAAAACTAAACTATGGATGAGAAAACAGCATTTATTACACACAACGAAAAACGATTCAAAGAGTCAATTACCATATACTGTATACGTATAGTACAGTTTGTAGAGGTCTTAACTATTAGGATTTAGATAATACAAGACAAATTTATTGTTTATCGTTGACATCGCCACCTTAGGATGATATTGAAGATGTTATATTTTTCTACAACCCCACAAAGTACGTTCACATTATAAAAATCTATGTCTATAATTAAAGCTCCTTACTGAATACGTCCATTCAAATGGCGGCCCGACTTTAACCGTCGTGTGTAACACAATATCTAACGGACTGGCTGTCAAATGCCCGGGCATTTTTGAAATATTACTCGAGAAGAAAAATGGTGGCGAGTAGGTTGACTCTGTCTTCAGTTTATAAAGGATTGCAGTCGGCTCACGTTAGTCCGCTTGTGCTAGCTACAAACATGGTTAACAAATTGATTATATGAACCAAGTCAGTCAAAAAGACCCATGTACAATTAGTAAGTTTTGTCCCTAAATATAGACCATCTGGCAACGCTGCTGGACCACACGAGTCAAACCGATAGTGTAAAGGTCCACTCACACTCAGCCGTGACGTGACACTGCCGTGACGTGCCGGTGATCCTCGCTGACGTGAGCTCACAGTGTTTTCAATTCACACCGGCCAGTATTTTTCTCCGTGCTCTGACAGTGCGGCTGTGTTCACGTAAGGTCGAAATGGCAAAATTTGAAGAAGAAGAAACGAGAAGAAAACGGACGCCCATGTATTTTGAGTTTGACTGGTTCTACAGCACAAGATGTGCGTGCACAAATTCAATTAGTTTTTCATCATTCATGTTTTTGACCAAATATATCAAAACATTCCCACGGCCACGTCCACGTGCCGGTCTAGTGTAAATCAGTTCATCCAAATTCCAGGAAGAATCTTTACAGTTTCGCCGGGCGGATCACGTGCCGGTCACAGCACTGTGACGTCACGGTTGAGTATGAATAGTCCCTAATAACGCATTCGCATGCTTGGCTCTTGCCGCAATATTCCAATCTCTACAAATGCTTGGCTTTTTTGAGGTCACAAACATCGCTATCCACACGTTTGCGAGTGCGTCAGTGTATTCAGATGATGGACATCCAACTTGTTGTATCGACCTTAACATTTAAATTAACTTTTTTTATTACAAAACCAAAAAATTAAGTCAAGGAAAACGAAAAGTATGGCCAAGAGGATGGTTTATGTTACAGAATCATAGAATCCGGATCAGCTAAAATGACTAATAATCTATTCTTGACGGGGTTGGAAGGTATTGACTAAAATTAAAATCAAGTTGTTTCCTACTGGATCGTGAATATTTAATAGGTATATTCCATACTGAGTGACAGTACGTATGTATATCAGAATTCAAATCGTGGATTCTGAACACATTATTGAACTTGCTTCTGCAGTTAGTTAACGAATGGAGCTGAAAATTTAATCATTTTACTAGCATGGGACACTGAACATATATGCCAAAAATTATTAAAATCGGATAAACATACGTAGGTGTTTACCTTTTTTCGTCACTCAGTATACTTAAAAAATACTTGTTTTATTGGATAAATTTATGTTTGCTGTATTTTTATGCGTATAATGCACAACAAATTAGAACTACAGAGTAAATTTCTTAAATTCCTTCCTGTTGAGTTAAGCAACCTAAAAGCGTTAATTAATTGGTTAACTAAGTACTGAGCGGAGCTGAATGAAATTCAATTTAGTTGTACAATACTAGAGCTCAGCTGAACCCAGAATATTACTGAACATACGTCTATTCGCCCCCAGTGCATAAGCGAACAAACATGTGGAAGCGTCGCAAGAGCTTGCAGAAGCCCCTTTGATTTGGGACCGAAAACCGACACTCGATTGGATCGGCTACAAGCGCTTGCAAACGTACGCAAACCACGTCAAACGCTGTATTTGCACGACTGCATTTATGAAGATTTGTACGGACCCAGCATAACATCCCTGCCGGCAAAATGCTGTCCGGGGCAGGGTCCACACGCAAGACAGAGTTCAGATGTAAGGCGGGGTTTGCCGTATGAAGGTCGTTGTTGCATTGCATCATCCTGCGTGTCGCCTCTATAAATGTTTCTGTTGGTAAGGTTGTCACGTGCCAAAATCACGTAACCTTTTTTTATTATTTATCACTTATCCGTAATTTGAATTTCTCTTCATTGATAATAGAGTGCCCATTCCTAGGCCAAACCCTTTTCAATGATTTTCTTTTGGCAAATTTAATAGTTTATTGATTGTATATTTCACTCGTATTATATCTTTCTTTCCCAGCGATCCAGTATGGTGTTGACTATCAGCCCAAAAACTCTGTAGTTTTTATCCGTTAGTTGGTTTCCTATAAATCATATCTTCTTCAAGGCCACTCAAGATACCTTCTTCTAGAACGTTACTTGTTCAGCGTGATTCGCTTTTCTATTTCCGTTGAGGTCGTGGTGCAGGGGTCGTTTCTTCATTTTCCGGACTCTGGGATATTAGGCTCCAAGCGCCAGTTCATGGACTGGCACCCTTTTTTTGTGTAACTTAAGCTTAGTCATTTTGGTTTGGGTGCTACGTCTTCCATTTTTTTATGGGATTTTGACCCTCAGCGTCAATAGAAACCAGTTGGTTGCACCTTGATGCAGTTTTGCAAATTGGTGGAAGCCATCCCCTTGAAAGAAAAACCTTGCTGTGAACAGGGTTTTGTTTTTTACTACCATAATTTTTGGCAACGAGGCAAGCAGCCCCTGCCCAGTGACGTGCCCACTATTGGCCAGTTGTTGAACAGAGTTGAGGATATCCTGGCCGCGCCTGACAAAGGAGCTCTACAGATAAGTTCAATATTTAGGCGCAAAATATCTGTAAATACTTCTGGGGTATACCATGGTAGACGTTTCGCGGGGTTATATCGAAAAATAATTTTGTCAGGTTGTATTTAAGATTTATAAAATCCTTTCTTTTTTATTACTCGCATTCCAGTGGTGGAGCACATGTGCGTTTTTTTTATTAATCAATATATTGTGATTCATTTGATATCTTGTTTATTTGGCTCTCTCTGTTACTTAAATTTCGTCATCCCTGTTAGATTCTCCTTTTGTGTGGTGGTCCAGCAAAACAAGTTCCGACTAACATTTCGGGGAGTTGTGGCTCAATCCGTCCTAAGTCACTGGCGCTCTTAGCCTTCCCCCTACTCTCCAGTTTATTGAACTAGGGCCTAAATTTGCACGCCACTAGACAACTGTTTTGCTTGGACCAACCGTTAGACAGTTTTCATCATTGTATTTTGGTCATTAACCAAAAGAGGCGTGGCAAGGTAAATGTACGAATGTGCGAAATACGTACTGATAGATGCTTATAACTACTGGGGTTGGAAGCGAATGAATATACTGTCGCCAAAAAATACCCTTCCATAACCCCTACAATCTTCGATTTCCAACCCCTGCCAATAATTTTTGTTTGCTAGCCCCGCCGCCAGTGGATCGATTTTCAAAAACAACAACTACGACCAGCAACCTTGTGTAAAAAATTCACCCAAATCGAACCAGTACTTTGCATGTTATAGGCGCATCGCCGCGTCGGTTTGGACAGTGCTCCCCCTAAAGCCACAAGGTGATCACTATACAAATACTCACATTATCTCGAAATGAAAGCAATAGGCAGCAGCGTTGGCCGCAGTAGTAGACTCTTCGGTCTCCTGATCAGTCGCCGTGCGCTGTGCGGGTTCGAATCCCGTCCCAGGAGAAACTTTTCTCTTGGCTATGGATGTTGTGATTGTCTATAGGTGGTAGATGGTTTTTGACTGTCAAACGCGGAGGTACCACCCGGCGAATCTCCTAGGCGGAACCAGAATTTGTGCATATTGCATGCCCGCGTGTTCCCTCGCCAGAGTCCGTGTGGCGTTCCTCCTTTCCCCTGTATCCCCCTATATCCGCACGGTACCCAATGGGTGTTTAGGCCTTAGGCATTCGTGGTAGTTGGAGTAGATAAAAAAAATAATCAAATCTATTTACTATCTCCTTTAAATCATTTAGATGCTTTACCTTATCATGCGATTCATACAGACTCAGACTAGTAATAATTAGCTAAATAGCTGCTTCCATCAAAATGGGATTCACGGCAAAACAACGTTGATTTTTCCGACAGCGGCAATTTATAGTCCCTATACATTACCTTGCACTTCTTTCTAATTCTTGCCTGTTTTGGCACACAGAGAAAATGTTTAACTGGAGCTGATATGCTAGTATTTGTACACCTAGGTACAATGAAATATTTGTAGGTTGAAGGTTTGACTTACTTTTTACTCATTTTTAATAATAGGGGAAAGCGTGTGTGGCGCGGCGCGGCGGGCGCATCTCCTTGCAGTGGTGCTGGGCTGATAAGCTTCCGTCATGTGACGACATCACTCACTCGCACGGCCCACCATACGATTCTCCAAATAATAAACTTTTGACTAGCGTAACTTTGTTATTTTTCAAGATATTAAAAAAAATGCCAGCGCTGTACTTCATTTTACTTAGACCATCATTGTGAGTGTCTTTTGAAAAATAGGAAACTTCCTCATTGTCCATATGATGTACCGATAATGATTATTCGGTTCCATTTATTTACTTTATTTAATTAACCCATGTCTACTAAAAATAACTGAACGGTTCACATCGCAACAGTGTTACTATTTCAGCCTTTCTCTACGTAAATACACCCGGTATGACCATCCACTAATGTCCTTTCCAGAGAAGGCAATGATAGGCACCTATAAATCCGCCAATGGAGTCTAAGCTGTTCATTGAACGGCTAATTAGGCTAATTGGCTGTGACATGGACATAATCATATCATAATTATGATAACACTTGGCATTATAGCATCATGGGAACTAAGCCAGTGCCTACGCAGGGTTATTAAAAACCGATATAGTGTCAAAGAAACCGATAAAATGTCAACCTGTTGGCTAAATAGGCTATACTACAACTATTTAAAACTGTAACGACTCATACGCGTGATCAACACGTGATCAGAGCTCGATCCCGGCTTCCTTCCAGTACAGCCGTATAGCGTACGACATATGTCGTTTCTGTGGCTTTGCGGTGGTCAACAGCACAGACAGAGATGGAAATAATGGCTGATTGTTCTCCGCCGGTAGAACCAATGAAATCAAAGACGCACCTCGTCCGGCAGACTCAGGCGTCGGCAACGCATTGGAACGTGTTTCGTTGAGCGATCGCATATTGTGTGTTTTTATAAGAATTGTTGTGTGATTGTTATTGTTGTGGTTTCTGTGGTTACTGTTTTGGTTATAGTTAACCATGGAGAGTACAAATGGCACGAGTGGAAGTACTGAAAGCCAGGGAACAAGTAGACGGCTTCGTAAAGCACTGAAGAGGGACGCGAAAGAAATCGTGCTCAACGTGTTCAATTATCTGAACAGAACTATGTCGCAGGGAGATGCACTCGCGCGTTGTGAAAGTATGACAGGCGTTCCAGAGTGGACCATTCGCAGGGTGGTGCATGAAAAGAAGAAAACTGGAGCTACTACTGATCCAAAGTTTAATTTGAAGGGACGAAAGGCCGTTAAATTGGATGACGATAGCAAAATGGAGTTAAGGCGAACCGTACATGCATTATTCTTTAGGAATGAGATACCAACCCTCAAGGCTGTACATGCAGCGATCAAGGAAAATGAAATTATACCCCAAATGAGCGTCGAGGTAATGAGGAAATCCCTGCACGAAATTAATTTTCGTTACGAAACGCGTAATCGGAAGTCAGTATTGATAGAGAGACCTGAAATAGTCGCCTGGCGTCGAAAATACCTACGCGAAATGATTGAATATAGGCGACAAAGCAGAAAAATCTATTATTTGGACGAGACATGGGTAAATGCAGGTCACACAGTTAAAAAAACCTGGATAGACAAAAACGTAGTGAGTAACCGACAAGCAAGCATTGAAGGTTTGTCAACAGGTCTTCGTGGACCGTCAGGGAAAGGTCAAAGATTGATCGTAACTCATATTGGTAGCGATAGTGGCTTTTTAGAAGAGTGTGACTTGATTTTCGTCTCTAAGAAAGGAGGTGATTACCATGACGAAATGAATGCCAGCTGCTTCGAGAGCTGGTTTCAAGGAGTGC